AGATTTTTTGCCATTTTCTAACAGAAAAATATTGGTTAATTTTATATCATAATTAAATCTGTATTGAAATTAAATCTGATTCCAGTGTGATTTTAAAAATAAATCATCCAAAACAAAGCACTAAAAATTATCTAAATTAAATTTTTTATTGATTCAATCTTCTAAAAAATTTTGGCCCACATAAACTTCCAAGCTTTTTACTTCTTATCCCAATTTAGGAAAGTAAAATTGTCTTCAACCCACCTGTTCTAGCAAGATGAACAAATTGTGCACAGCAGGAAACTAGCATCCTAGTAGTATAAAGCTTTCCAATTTTATCTGAAAGCTTTATTTAATATAAGTGAGTGGAGAAAAGCTACTTTCTTGTTTTGCTAGCAGTTACAATTTATCAAGATATATTGTAAATAACAGATGTTTTCAAAAGTTCCTAGAACTTGGGTCATAAGGCAAATTTAAATATTCATAAACTTGACAAAGGCATCTAAGCAGACTTGGCACAAACTCCAGTAGCTCTGTCTCCTTGTTAACCTCAAGTGCTGCAGCCACTCTCCCACCCTCCTTGGAAATACTGCTGGTGTGGTGGCATGACCAGCAGTCAGGGGGTTAATAGAGGATCACCCTCAGAGCCTCCGCACAGCCACCACTGAATCCAGTTGCCACTGAGGCATTGCAACACTGAATTTGGCATCACGCCTCCCTGCAGCTGACTCCAAGTGCTTCCTCTATTCCATTGCTGGTGCCCTCTTTAACTTGGTGCCTGGAGGCTGTGCCCCCACTGCTAGTTATGCTACTGCGTCTAAGCCTTTCAGGCCTCTGCTTAGTACAGTAGAGCAAGTGAAGGTTTTCTTCCATCCCTCTCTCCTCAGGCCTGAGTTCAGGGTGGCATGTTCATGATAGACATTATTTACAGGATCAGGATGCAGTTCCCCAGGAACTGAAATGAAAATATGCTCAAGTTGTTTTTTTGTAATGACAATATTTGCTGAAGTTCTGGTTTGTACAGAAACACTTTAAAAATACTGCACTTGTATTTGGAAATGATCAGTTATGGTTATTTATAAATATTATAATGAACAATTTCCATTTCAGAAAGGACTTATGGTCATAGGAATAAGAGTGAATGGAAGCCTACAAAGAATGTGCGTCAGTTCCAGAGATCACACTGGGGAGAAAAGCATAGGTGGGTCTAGCCTGAAATAATGTGCCAGATAGGCTATCAGTCCAGTAGTGATATTTGTTCAGGCTGACACAATTTTATGGAAATTATGAGGCAGTTTTGGATAAACCTGTATTTAAATGTGAATAAACCTGGCAGCATTTGGTTAACGAGATTCTTGACAAATGGACCCAACATATAATTCATCAGGTACTGAGCAAACTACCCTCCCAGGCCACCTACTTCAGCTTCACCACTGCACTGCACTGCACTCCCAGTTGTCACTGACATCACTGTTGTACTCATTCCTGGCCACTCCACTTGTATGCAGCAACAAAGGGAAGTGAACTTACTACTTCTCTATTACCCAGCACAGGTAAATTAAAGGCTTAAGGAAGCAACAACTCTGGAACAGTGCACTGGATTTTTTCCTGGCTCATGAACTACAAACAAAATAGTTAACAGAATCAACAAAGGGAAGTGGCAGAAACTCCTGCCCTTGTTCTTTCTGCAAAATGCTATAATTGAAAAGATGCATCTTGGTAAATGGAAATTAGGCCTCTGGCAGACTGTACACTTAAGATGTGATTGACCAGTTAATCGCATCTTAAGTAGTAACCCAGCCAGGTGGTCATGCAATTAATGGTGCAATAAAACAGGGAATAAGCTACAAAGTTATTACATAAAATATGTGTAAGAGCTTTATGGCTGGTTGCCAATGCATCCTAAATTATATGGGTGGTAAGGCATCAGCTGTTTGGGACTCCTGTCCTGAAAAGTGCATGGGAGTCACCAACACTCAAACCTGAGTGGGTTCTTGAGAACATTTTAGGGTTTGCTTCAAGATAATGCAAAGTCAATTCAAGATTTCTCAAAAAGAAAGAATTCCCTCATACTCAGTGCTCTTCTTGGTAAAAGAGGTCATGAAGCACTAAAAGGGAAGCAGTCTTGAAACCTAATCTTATTCTGATCAAATTTACCTTCCTACCTCAAGAAGGAGGCAATTCTTAAAAGCTGCAAGAGATTTGAAAATAAACCCTACACATTCAAGATTTTTTTTCCTTAAGCCTTTGGTACTGAGCTCACCTGGAAAGACTACACATTCTGGCCTGAATAAAATATCCTCTGATCAGCTGAAGAATTCACTGTTCCTTGTAGTCACCAGTTAGGCTTCAGGTCACCTGAATGGAGATAGACTTTAATGATTTCAAAAAACAACCCAGTACCAAAGCAGAGAAGTGAAGCATACCACTCCTGACTATGGCCAATGCTCAGCCAGTGCATGGTCCCGCTCCTAAGCAGTTGTAGTTCCAGACATGTTCAACTCCAACACACTCTGTGGTCCTTCCCCTTTTGCTCTCTTCACATCTAGTGGCAGAAAACTAAGTTCAAAGTGGAAATGAGGCTTTTTTTAAATGCTGCAAGCCACTAATCCAGGTTTTCCCTTCTCTCCTTGGAAGACTTGTATTTTATTAAAACTGAAGGTTGGCAACCAGAGACTGACCTTGGACATATCTCATCTCCCAGAAAATAGGATGATTCCCTCACCAATGCCTTGCCACAGCAATGGCATGGAATCTGTTAAGTAAAAATATGCTCAGATGACCCCAGGAAGAGGACCATGCCCCATATCATGGAGAATGGCAAAACAACCTATGCTCCAATCTTTGCCAATCTGACCAGGTTCTGCCCCAAATCCAGCCACTGGTTTGACTCTGAGCACATGAGCCAGACCCTCCTGTCCAGCAACTGGGAAATTTCTATACACCTCTAGCGAAGGAAGGGCGTGGATGAAAAAGGATGTGGAGAAGCTTGAAAGAGTCCAGAGAAGAGCTACGCGCATGATCAGAGGTTAGGAAAACACACCTTATGATGAGAGGCTGAGAGCCATGGGACTCTTCAGCCCAGAAAAGCGCAGGCTTGGGGCGATCTGGTGGCCACCTACAAGTTTATAAGGGGTGTTCACCAGGATCTGGGGGAATGTTTGCTCACCAGAGAGCCCCAAGTGATGACAAGGTCGAACAGTTATAAACTCATCCAGGACCATTTCAGGCTGGACATAAGGAAGAACTTCTTTACTGTCCGAGCCCCCAAGGTCTGGAATAGCCTGCCATCGGAGGAGGTTCAAGCACCCACTTTGAATGTCTTCAAGAGAAATTTGGATGTTTATTTTACCGGGATCCTATGACCCCAGCTGGCTTCCTGCCCCTGGGGCAGGAGGCTGGACTCGATGATCTTCCAAGGTCCCTTCCAGCCCTAATGTCTATGAAATCTATGAAACAGAAACCAAATAATACACCGAGAGGCGAGGGGAATTTCTTTCTGGCTCCTGCAGAGAACTATCAAAAGTCCCAGATCATGGCTTCTCCTCCATTACAAGACATCTCCCATCAGAGACAACATCATTTCAGCCCCTTCATGGGGATACTAAATGCTCAGGTCCATGTACCACATGCTCTAATTGCTTGTCTAAAGACACATTTATCCGATAGTACATAGATTCACTGAGTTCTATCTTGAAGCAGTTCAGGTTCCTTACCCTCACTAATGTTTTTTCAGAAGGCAATTTTGAAACTTCACTTCTGATTACTATAAACCTCCTTCTGATTTACAGACAACATGACATGACTGTTTGTATCTATTTGATCTTGCAATGATGTGGTTCTTTAACTTAACAAACTCCTTTCCTTCCCTGATATTCACCCTGCACATGTATTTGCAAAGCGTCATCACATCCCCTCTTAACCTTTGTTTGGCTAAGGGAATCCAAGCTCTTTTAACCTCCTCTCATATGATACTGTCCCCATGCCCCTAACCATCCCAGAAGCCTTTTCTTTGTTCCTGTTCCAATTTAAATTAATCTTTTATGAACCTAAGTGATTAAAACTAAACGAAACATTCTAAATTGTGTCCTCCCAAAGCCACGAATAAAAGAACAAATATTTCTCTTCCTCAGCTTGGTATACCCTAATACACCTTTGATTTCCATTAGCCTTTTTCATGGCTGCATCACAGAAATGGTATGTGATCACCCCATGAGCCCTCTCTTCTTCTTTGGCCTCCAGTCTGTGAGTAGGATCCTATCGTATAGTAAAAGCTCTTGTTGTTTGTCCTTAACTGCATTGCATCATTTCTTTCCAAACTCGTTCATATTGCTTATTGGCTTTTCCCCAGTGTTTCTCTGCTCCTTTCTTCTTATGTGTTTCTAACCAGCAACTCCAGGTGATGGAAAGATGTGATAGTGATCCTCAATCTTTTTTAGACTCGGAGCAGTCATCATTAGACTTGAGGCACCCCTCCAAAAATGCCAGCTCTTAGTTTTTACTCATTTTTTGACTACAGAAAAGTAATAGAGCATTTTTTTTCTGTTGCAAACAGGTTGGAAAGAGCACAACAGGCCAGAATGTGTTTAATACTGTAGATTCCTATTTGAAATCTCTGGGTGTATCTTGTTTATCACCTAACTGATAATACGCATGGCAGCCTGTAGGATCTCAAGGCACAGCAGGGTGCCATGGCACCCTGGTTAAGAATCACTGGTATATGCCTAATACAACTCCTGCACTCTAGTCCTAAGAATCGATTAATTTTACATAGTCTTTCCCCTTGTTTTCTGTGTAAATGTTGTTAAATAACAGCTTGACAGGTCTTAGAATTCAAGGTTTTCTGCCCTGTTTGACGCTGTTTTTGATCACCTTGGATGATATGGGCACCTTTCCAGAACAGGACAAAAGCACGCCAGTAAGGGCTCAGTCATTTGGGGTACAGAGCACCTCAAACTAAATGAAGTCAGAATCAGGCCCCAAGATTAAAACTTTTGTTTTAATGTCTTCATTTGGATTTTCATTAAGTAAAATACAAAACATTTTTTCAGCAGCACTTTTCAGGACACCTGCAGTAATTCAGTCAGGAAATTAATTTAAGTTGGATTTAATATTCTGAAATTGTGTTATTGCAACATCATAGTGCTACTGTCCAAAACTGAGTCAGCATAAAGTGCAGTGTTACTTGCCAGACTTATGTTAGCATGTATGGTTTAAATGATGACACAAGCAAAACTCTGCTCTGAAACGGACAAATTAAAGATACCAAAATATTATGTTTCCTTTTGCCAATAAGAACAGCTGGCAAGATGGGTTTACTAAATGCAGCTTTAGCCAGCAGACATAGGTTATAATTTTCACAGGCTTTGTCTTTGAAATATGGAATTAACAAAACATTCTTCCCCCCCACCCCTTTCAAAATTGGAGGGTTTGTATCTTTCATCTGGCAAAATTTAGCAGAAAAATGAAAATAATATCAAAGTTACAGGCACCGTAGGGAGGCTGTTAATGTGGGAACAAAGGGCATTTGGCCAGTGAAAATAATAAAATACGATGCAACTTTCCCAGTGATGGCTGAAGCCCAATTAGTACTTTCCAACTGGAGCCACAATACTCCTTTCCAGATTATGCGGTTTGGCAAGATGTGGCATGAGTAAACTTACTTTCCTAGAAGGGAAAAATATAATTAACAGAAAAAACAAAGTCATGCAGTATTATGCTCTAAGTAAACAATAACATACCACTGGGTATACATTAAACAGTTGATCTATGTACACCTTGGATATACTGAGGCAAAACTGTGGCTCAGCAGAGAAGGAATGCATCTATTGTCTATTGACCCCACCGCTGGAGTTTGCTGCTGCCTTTATACACTAGTTATTTTCATTTCTTTAATGGAAAAATATGGATTTAATACACATACTTGATTTAATGTTAATTAAACTAGTGGGTTAAGTTTAGGTAATTTAACGTAATTTTTTAAGTTTGAAACCTCTGTTTTTGCTACCTTCCTGTTTGTTAAACAACTGATCTACTGTGCTGTTCCCAACACACCATGAGGATACCTTTTTTTTTTTTTTTACTAATTTTATTAATTGAATGCAGAGATTAGTTTTAAGTTTAACTCAGATAATAATGACCAGCATAGTTACAGCCCAGCCATATTTACCCTAGAGTACATTCCACACACCCTGGCAGTGGTATAAGTCCTGACAGTCCTTTCCACCCTTTTCTGAGTGCTGGATTTAAGGTTGGAACCCACAGCAAACTGGAGGTGAACTGATTGCTGATTTTTTCAATAGCATTTTAAATAAAATCTGACACAGGAGGACAGCACATTAAGTTGAAGGCCAAAATGAGGGGAAACATGTAAAAGAAAGCAAGAGTATAGACTATGGTAGCATAATAAAAACAGTCCTGCTGAGACATCTGGTTATTGCTCTTGCAATGACACTCTTCATAAAAATGCAGGGCAATATGCCAGAAGGAAGACTGAGAAAAAGGAGGAAAAGAAAAGAAAGCTTCAAAAAACATGGAACCAGTCCTGTCAGAGGCTTGGACCACACACCTGAAACAATTATTGACTTATAGTTCCATTACAGGATGTATTCATTTGACAGGCATATCCCACTGCTGCCTCCACACCCCCTGCCCCCTCCATCCCCCAGCTGCCCCATCCCATTCTCCCATTCTCAGATCTAATTTCATGCATTTCTAATGTAATTTAAGTTCATAGTTCTGATAGTGTATGGACTATACATACATTTGGAGCTTTTTGAAGAGTAAGCTTCTTCAGAAGGGGAGCGGATCAGGAGTATGCAGTAGCTGTTAAGATTCAAACAATGACGTGGATGAGTCCAGAGCGTTATAAAAGTAGCAAAGTTCACTGAAGACACCAAACATTGGGGTAAACCTGAGGGATAGGCTGGTGATCCAGGCCAAACTTGACAGGCTCAGAAAATGGGTGGATAAAAACCTGATGACATTCAATACGGAAAAATGCAAGGCACTCCACCTCACGGTAAAGGAACCCGCATCACGCTTATAGGCTCGGCAGTGCTATGCTTGCTAACACCACAGCTGAAAGGGACTTGGGGATCATGATTGACCACAAGATGAACATGAGCCACCAATGTGATGTCACGGCTGGTAAAGCAAACAAAACTCTGGCTTGCATCCATAGATGCTTCTCAAGCAAATCTCAGGATGTCATTCTCCTGCTGTACTCGGCCTTGGTGAGGCCCCAGCTGGAGTACTGCATCCAATTCTGGGCTGCACAATTTAAAAAGGATGTGGAAAAGCTTGAGAGAGTCCAGAGGAGAGCCACGTGCATGATCAGTGGGCAAGAGAACAGGTCTTATGATGAGAGGCTGAGAGCCATGGGACTCTTCAGCCTGGAAAAGCTCAGGCTCAGGGGTGACTTAGTGGCTGCCTATAAATATATAAGGGGTGTACATCAGGATCTGGGGGAACACCTGTTCACCAGTGCACCCCAAGGGATGTCAAGGTCAAATAGTCACAAACTCCTCCAAGACAGTTTTAGCTGGACATAAGGAAAAAATTCTTTACTGTTCAAGCCCCCAAGGCCTGGAATAGGCTCCCTCCAGAAGTGGTGCAAGCATCTACTCTGGACTCTTTTAAGAAACATTTGGATGCCTGTGTTGCTGGGATTCTTTGACCCCAGCTGACTTCCTGCCCCTGGGGCAGGGGGCTGGACTTGATGATCTTCCGAGGTCCCTTCCAGCCCTAACGTCTATGAAATCAATGAAATCTCTATGAAATCCCCCTGCTGTCTAAGCTATTCTGAGACTATTTAGAAGATATTTCTCTAGTGGTGCTTACTTGCCCATTATCTGCTTTTTCACTATTAAGTGAACTGTTATATTAAATTCAATAGGCTACAGCTATTTAATTGTGTGTATGCATTTTATATGTATGTATGTGCATGTATATATAGAGTAGATGCTGGTTTTCATGGTCTCATTTTTCCTTTAATTATTATTACACCTTTATTTTGATTGAAAGCAGTAATACAATATATCACCCATTACACTTTTTAATTTCTGTGTGACAGGTATATCTGTAGAGCCTTTTGCTTTAGCACTGTGGAATAAGGCTAGAATATCCTAAATGAAAGAGACTAAAGACAAAGCTGTATTTGAGAGCTACAGTTTAACAAATACACAGGTACTAACTTCAACTAGCAAAACAAATGGGGTGGAGGTAGGGACAGGTAACACCTGAAGACAACCCTTGTTACACTGGTAACTCAAACAACCCTTACATTTAAAATGTAGTAAAATGAAGACCTGCATGTGTGCTTGCACTTGCCACAAAAATTTCTCAAAAGCTAATGAAGCAAGCTCAATGTAAATAACCTCTTCTGACATGAGTACCAATTAATTTACACTTCTGAAGCCACAGTTTACACATGGTGATACATTTTCCCTTCCCCCTGAAAGCCCCTCATCCACATCATAAAAGGTATGAAGCTTATTTACTTAACATTATACTAGCCCATGTTCTTGAATCAAGAGGGATTTCTAAGAAATACAGAACAAACTAAAATTTGCTATTAAAGGTGCAGCAGGACAGCCGTATTTATTATATTTACCTTAAATCCAGGTAGAGGGGGCTTTTACCTCTTGAAATTCATAACTAATACTACACGTGAGCTGGATCAGCTCTTAGACAAAAGAGGCTAAGAAATTTTACATTATAAGAAAAATAAATCCTCCAAATTTGCTAACAAATTTGCAAAATAGTGATCAAAGTGTATACAGCTCAACAGCCAAAGAATATTATAACAACAGCATGGCATAGTAGGTGAAGCTACTAATTATGAATGTATTAACATTCTCTTGAATTTCTATAAATAACTGAATAATCTTGAAAAGAAGTGCCCAAATTCCCCAGATGAACAGAAAACATATTAAAACAAAACCTTTTGAGAATTTTCTTAGATATATTTTGAAATAAGGACATACTGAAAAAGAATGACACTGACAAAGCTACAAATGTCTTGAATACTCCATCAATTTGATAAGAAATGTTCTAATCCCATATCTCTGTAGACACAAAATGCATAATTAAAGTACCCCCACACAGCACACCATACTTACTCCCATATCAGATGCACCTTTTCCCCCAAACTTAGTCGTCCAAAATTGTGTGTGTGTGTGGGGGGGGGGTGTTTTAAGTGAGAAAGTCAATTTCCACACTGGAATGAAAGCATGAGGATGCTGGAGCTGCCAGAGGCTGTGCTGCCTTCAAGGCTACAATAATCCCTATCCAACACCTCCCTTCCCCAGAACTAAACCTAGACTCCTGGTGGCCCCAAGAGAACTTTTAGTATCAGGCCCCACTCCACCAGAGATAACAATAACAATAATAATGATAATCGGACAAAAAAATTACCAGTTTTGGGCCCCTTTTCTGTCCGGGTCCCGAGTGGCTAACTGGTTCAGCCATGCCTGTGTTTGGCCCTGCCCTTCCCCCTCCAAAAAAAGTACTAGAACTGCATGCTTCTACCCTCCCCACATTTCTCCCTAATAAAGATAAGAAAATTCTTACTAATTTGTTTAGCAGGGATTAGTCCTCTGTTCCCTGTACTCACACATATCAATAAATCTTGTTTTATATATCACAGGACATCTAGCAATATAGTAAGCTTAACTGTTATTCAGTAAAATAGTTATTATAATTCCTAAAAGATTAAGGGTGGACTTTTCAATCATTAGAATTTGGGCTTGTAAATCACTTGGATATTTTTGAAA